AAGTAGGGACGATTAATACAGGCACAATTGTCCCCTCTCCCACTGTCTCTCTCCCATCCATCGCTCCTCGTCGAGGGCTGCAAAGCCCGCTGTGGCTGAAGCCGCTGTCTCGTCGTCTTCGGTTCCATCCTACTTTCCCCCCATCCCCCCCACTCACTCACCCGCTTGTTCCCCACGACACGGCCGCCACCACCACCACCATCACCAACAACAGCATCGGCAGTCACAGAGATTGGACAGGTAGATCTCGCGACAGCGCATTCGCATCCACGAGTCGCACATGCTCAACACAAAGCTGTCTTCGTTGCCAAGTTGCGGTGAGAGGTACCGGTATGTGCGATTTTGCTGAGGTCGGCTTGCATCTCTGTCAAGAAAGATGGCTGGGTGCCAGCCTCTCCTCAGCCGCCCAACCACCCGCCCATGTGTGCTGTCTGCGCGACACCGCGGCTGCAATGGCTCCACAATCAAATCTTCCGCCTTCGCTGTATCTAACACTGTGCAGTCCAGCCATTTTCCCACCCTCTTCGTGCATGTTGTAAGCTGCGCTGCCCTCTTGCGCTGCACCACCACCTTGCCCGCCACGCTCAACCGCCGGGCCTTTCCCAACCCTCCCTCCCTCCCTCCCTCCCTCCCCCCCCCCATCCGGCGGGTGCCATTGCGCCGCCGTCGAGTGCGACTCCACGTGTGGTGAGAGGTCGCATCCAGCTTCAAGGTGACGAGTAGCAGCAGGCATCCTTTGCCAGATCTTGCAAACATACTCCCTTACATAGCACCGCCTCTTGACGATACCACGACCCATTACGACCCACACACCACCCCATACCGCACCTCTCTCCAGCTCCGCCAGGAGGAAGCCGAGGCCTTCTATCGCGCACAGCACAATCACTCCCGTACCACCAGCACTTCAGTCGGAAGCAGCCTTCGCCGCACGCCCAATTTCCAACGCTCACGCTCCGTCGACCACGGCGAGCAACAGCAGCGCCAGGTCCGCTTTGCAACACCGCGCCCGCGCGCAGCCTCCGCCTCTGAGCCCCACCCAGCGCTTCGCGTCAGCCGTCGTACCGCCTCTGCCATTCGATTCGTGCTCGAGGAAGCTCTCCGTGCGCCTCATCCCTTCACCCCCGACCTGGTGGAAGAGAACGCGTCCATGTCCGACTTGACTGGGGCACGGGCTGCCAATGGCGGTGCGCGCACCACGGGTGGCCCTGTACCCGTCTCACAGCCTGAGCGCGCCAACATTCGCACCCCGCAGATGATCATGAACGCCCGGCGACAGCGCGCAGAAGCAGAAGAGCAAAGAAAGGTGGAAGAAGAGCGCCGGAGGGTGAGCGCCGAACGAAGAACCCAAGCCATCTCTGGCGGAGCTGGTCCACCCACTACCACCGATTCTGGAGCGCAGAGGCAGCCACCACCGGCCCCTCTGAGGTCTGGTGATCCATACGTACAGTACCCTACCTCGTCTGGTGGCGTCCCACGCCAACCCGAACGACTCATCCCCCCCTCCTCCTCCAACCCTGCACAGGAGACAGGTGCAGGTGCATCGCAAAGAAGGCCTAGAGTGAGTTCGCAGTCGCAGCAAGCCGCTCGTCCGGCCCCTGCAAACACTGCTGCTGCGACCACGGCAGACCCCTCGACCAGACGTCCCCCTCAGTCACACCATGCCCGACATGCCTCTGGTGCTGCAGGCCCTTCACAGTCAGGTCCCTCGGCAGCGGCTCCCCCACGGCCACCTCCGCTGAATACATCCACTACGCAACTTCGTGACTCCACCACCTCCACTTTCCCGCATGCTTTCGAGCGCTGGGAAACACTCTCGTCTCACTGGGAAGGCCTGACTTCCTACTGGATACGTCGGCTCGAGCAAAACACGGATGAGGTCCGCCGGGAGCCCTTGGCCCAGCAAATGTCACGGCAGATTACCGATCTCTCAGCAGCGGGTGCCAATCTCTTTCATGCCGTGGTCGAGTTGCAGCGCTTGCGCGCTTCCTCTGAACGCAAGTTTCAGAGGTGGTTCTACGAACATCGCCAAGAGCAAGAAAGAGCACAGGAACGAGAGGCGCAATTGTCGGAACAAGTCAACACGGAGCGTGAGGCACGTATCGAGGCAGAATCGAACATGGAGCGCTTGACCACCGAGAAGAAGAACGCCGAACGTGCAGTGTCGGAAATGAAGCGCGAGCTACAAATCTCAAAAGAAGAGGCTCGTAGAGCGTGGGAAGAACTAGGAAGGCGTGAGCAAGAAGAACGCGATCGCACCTTTTCTTTACGAGAGGGCCAGCCTACCTTGGTGGGTGGTGTTCAAGTAGTGCCAATGACGCAGAATATGGGTGGACCTGGAAGAGGTCACGGTGACGACGCGTATGCGGGCGCGCAGAGCTCCGGCATTGAGCAACACTATTCCTACGAAGAAGGCCAATCGCCGACGGACACCGATCCGTTTACTGAAGCCGGCCGCCACCCCCACCGGGAACCTGAGTTGCCATCGCATGTCGCACAAGGTACTTATGTTCCGTCTGGCGCCGAACCTACTTCCTCCTCTCGCCCACCAGCAGCTCATTCGGACACTGAGCCCGTCCAAGCTCCAGCTCCTTTGCAATATCCATATTACACGTCCCAATCAGAAGAGGCATCCACACCGCCCAGCACATCATTGCCAGAGGCATTTTACCAACAGCCTGGCACCTATCTCCATCAAGACCCTGCGAACCCCCACGAGGATGAGCAATCGTACGTGACTTCACAAGGCGAAGCTACCTCGGAGGGCGATGAGGAGTATGCCATTGACCAACAAGGCAACTTCATCCGGGACGAAGCTGGCCGTCGTATCCCCTATAGATCGCTTCAATCTCCCGTGTCAGATGAGTATGATGTGCAGGACGACCGACGCCGTGAGCTCGAACATTTGCAACGCTACGGTACGGCTGCGTCAACACAGAGTGGCTACGTGGCCACCTCGAGCGTGGATCCTTCTGATGACCAAGGACTACCTACCACAGCTGGTCGTCCCGACTACAGTGGAGATGGATATGGCGATGAGTGGGTAGGCATGAGACATCATCATCCCACCAGGCTGAGTGATGTGCCTGAAGAAGACGAGAGAAGTCGAACTTCGCCTAGCAGGGCGAGCCAGGCCAGTCGGGGCAGGCTGTACTAGATGAAATGACTCGAGCGATCCAGTGGTAATGTCTTCCCCATGGCAACACCTTTGTTACAAAGGCACGGAAGTTGGCTTGCCCTTCACGCCAGACTGCAAAATTACGCGTCAGACCTCGTAGCGACAGACCACCTCATCAACCCCCTCAACCATCTGCTCGCTCCCCCTCACAAAAAATTGCATGTGCATATATGTTATACCGCCATTGTCCGTTTTAACAGCGTGCATTGCCATGGAACATTTCATTACATATTCTTTTTACCATCTTAGGGGGGTTTTTTTTAAAAAAAAATCCCCCATTTTCCCCCCAGCCTATGGCTGTGCATGTCACTTTTTGTCGATTTTTTCTCCCTTTGCTTCTCCATGTGATTTTTTGTCTCGACGAGCATAATATCCTGTACCAGTACTCGTGGTTACCTGGTGTTTTTTCTCCTTGCGGTGCTTTTCTCTCTCTTTAGAGCATGGTGTTTTTTGGTTTGGTCTGGGGGCATTGGATCAGGGAGGATGGGAAGGGCGGGCCGATCTTTGCATGAGGAGGGTGGTGGGTATATAGGGCGGTGGTGGGTGGGATGGTTGGGGGTTTTTAATGATGTGGTGGTGATGGGATGGGGATAAGGATGGGGATGGTTTGGTATAGGGAGGGATGCGAGAGCCGAAGAGACGGAGAGATGAATGCAAGAACTTGCGCAGATTGCGCGGATTAATCAACTTCTTAATGTCTTTCACCTCTTGCTGTTCTTGGGTTCTAGTTCGTGCATGCATATTATGTTACGGTGTATTACGTACACATCGAGAGTAGAAGTGGGTGCGATAAGAGTAGCAGGTCTGGCCAGGCATGGCGTGCTGGCTGGGATTCTATCAGAGAGAGAGAGAGAGAGAGAGAGAGGATCAAGGCTGGACAGCGGGATTCAAGGGAAGCGAATGGTCAGCTTCAGTGTCCTTGTGTCAGATCCAGCGGCTTGTCCTAAAATTCCGTTACGAGGTACAATACAACCAAGAGGTCATAAACAACCAAGACTCAAAGTTTCGCTGCCCTCAACTTGACACTATCCATCCTCCTCCCCTCCTCCTCCTGCTCCCTAACCCTCAAATCCGGAAACTCAACCGGCATGATCCTCCTCGGCCTCGACCCAGGCACAAGACTATACTTTTCAAAATCACACACGCCCTTCTCCCTCAAAAAATCCTCATCTACCAACAATTCACCATTGACCTCTTCGACCGGGGCCCTCACCACCGCAAGCACAGCGTCCGAGAAAACAGCAGGCATCCTCAACTCGGCCCGCACCTCTTGCGCCATCTTCTCCGTCGCCGCAGACTGCACCGCCGTGGCAGGCCAAAGCCCACTCACCGCCATCCCCACCTTCTCCTCGCGCCGAAAATCCATGGCCAACCCCTTGACCAACACGCTCATCCCCACCTTGCCAACCGCATACGCCGTCTTGCCCCTAAAAAACCGCGAATAAATCGGCGGACAGACAACAACGATACGGGCGCGCCAACCCCGCGCTTCAAAATGCGGAAACGCGGCGCTGAGCACGCCGTACAGGCCCTCGATGTTGACGCGCTGGAGCAGCTGGAAGCGTGAAAAAGGTGTGTTGGAGACAGAGGACCACCAGATGGCGCCGGAATTGTAGACGAGTACGTCGATGTGGCCGTAGGTGGAGAGTGTTTGGGCGATGAGGTGGTGGATGGAGGGGTAGGAGCGTGTGTCGACGGGGATTGCGGTGGCGTCGCCGCCCGAGGAGCGGATTTCGTGCTCGACGGTGGAGATTGTGGAGGCGGGGGAGTTTGGATCGGGGGGGAAGGGTGTGGTTTTTGAGGGGTCGGAGGTGGATTTTGCGGCTATGACGACTGCAGGAGGTGGGGGGGGTTGTTTAGTTTGTTGCTTTGGGATTGGGGACGGTTGGGGTGAATGAGGGTGGTGATGATTACTCTATGCCATGTACTCGACTTACCTGCATAACCTTGCTTTGCAAAATCCACAGCAATCTGACGACCGATGCCTCGTGAAGCACCAATAACGAGCGCGACTTCTTTCGTCGAGACGGCCATTTTCGTTGTTGGCATGTAAGAAACTCTCTAGTCGAGGCTGCTATATTCACATGCAACTCTCAATATGGTGGGAACTTGGAAGTGACGTTACCAGCAGGTACAGTAGATACCGTACGAAGAACCGCTGAAGACAAGACAAGGCAAGACAAGACACCTTAGGGAGAGG